CACTGATCTCAGCTCAGAGATGGCTGAGAAATTCCTCGTTTATCCAGCAGAGCCAATATCCCATCTGACTGGTGCAGCACAGTTGCAGCTGCAGTCCTGTGACCTGGATGTAGGTTTGGGAAATGCAAATTCCCTCTGCACCTGCTTCTCCTCTCACAGAGGTCAGATTTACAGACAGGATTTCATTGCCTCCAGTGAGTAATTCATTTACTGTGGAGGACTGAAGGGACCATCAGATTTGAAGACTAGTTATTCAGTTCTGATGCAAGTGCATGGAGTTTGCCTACAAAAATGGCTAGAGGGAGAACAGGTGAACAAGTTAAATTCTTAAAGGCTTTGTCTTAAATCCATGTAGATACTTTACTTCTATGCACAAGGTGAAGTGAAAACACCCCTGCTAATCAGATCTGACACAACCAATCTCACTTGTAGCATCTGCTTGTAGCAACATTTTTTTGTGTTTATTTTTTCTGCCACTTTCCTCTCAGACTTTATTCAGTAGGCAACAACCTAATGTTGTCTCCAATTTAAGCATTGGTTCCTTTCAACAGTAACAGGAATATAGAGCTCCTGCTGCAAATAAACCTTAATACTTGCATTCATAAGCTTACAAATCACCAAGATTTATAATGATCATAAAATTCTGGAAGTGGAGCTCTCGAAAACTAACAGATAAATAAAGCTCCCATCTATTTCCTCTGATTGACTTGTCAGTGAGTAAATATAGAATATGGTGGTGTGGATTCCTAGATTATTATCTATTAAAAAAAGCAGTGATCCTATGAATAAGTGTAAAACAAACTATATTATAAAGTGCTGCTTATGAAGTAATTTGATGTTACCCTGATTTAGGGTAATTTGATGTCACTTTAGGTAAACAGGTTGAGTTATATCATTTTATTTTAGTGAAGGATCTACTCCTATCTGTTTATAGCACTGCTTCATATATTGTTACATTGTGTATTTAAGAAAATAATCCAGTAGATTTTTTTTTTAATATTTTGTAGTTTAAAAAAAAATCCAGTAGAATAAACCTACATTCATAGTTTCAGACAGCATTAATTAACCAACTTCTATTTCAAACATGATTCTTTAATCATGTTTTATGTGCTATATTTGCTAGTAATAATTAAAACAAAAAGTTCTGGCTGCTTGTGGTCTTTAAATATCCCTGTTACTTTACATAGCTGTAGCTGTGTGAAACCCAATGTCATGACAGATTTATATTATAAGTCCACATTTTCTGTCTATAGTACTTCCAGTTGTCTCTGAATTGTTCTGTAGTGCTTGTATCCTATGAAAGCTGTGGTCCAACCCTGATCTAATCTGCATTTTGTTTGAATCTGGTTATTTAGCTCATTTCACAAAGCAAAGCAGGATAACATATCTTGTCCAGAACTTCATAGAGCCTAATAATGCTCCCATCAAAATCAGTGGAACTTAAATGGGAGCAGAAATACATTTCTGTGAAAGCAGTTGCATTCAGTGCATAGAGCACTGGAATAAGAGACAGGAGATGTGGGTTCAAATTACAGCTGGTCTATTGAACTTCTGAGTGACCTTGACTACATCACTTGACCTTTGTTTCATTCTTAGTCATTGTACTCTATTTAGATTTTAAGATTTGGGACTGAGTGTACAGCAAAGTGTTCAAGAATCTCTGATATATGTTGGAACCTCAAATTCCACTTTAATACTACTAATAATAGTTCAGAGTTGACAAAAGTTTGGGTGCTCTTACAGGTCACCTTTAAAACATTTTTAAGTCATAAAGTTAGAACAGTTTTAGAACAATCACAGGCGAAAGCTGAATGCCATCTCCGACCTGCACCACTGTGACTTGCCACTAGATGGACTGGTGAGCAGGGCATGTACAGGAGCCCTGCTCACCAGTCCCTCATTGGGGTGGAATAAGAGGAGGAAGGTGGTGTGTGACTTGGAGGCAGTGAAGCTACCATGTGGCTTCCCTCACTCTGCAGTCAGCAAGAGCCAGCTGGAGCCATGGGCAGGAGGGCAAAAGTCTTGATAAAAAACCTGTATGAAGTGAATGATCAGGATGAAGAAATAAAGAGAAAGGAGTGAAAATAATAGCAACAAGAAAAAAGGCCCAAAATCGTGCATGTGTTTCACTTAATTGGGACTGGGTTGGGGGCAGTTGGGTTAGCACTCAGCACAAGGGCAGTGCTGAGGCCCAGCATGTTTGCTTTATGCCACACTGAGCCAGGAGTTGGGTTAACACTCACATCAGGGCACACCTGAGACCCAGCAGGCTTGCTGCAGGCATACCACACTGAGGCAGAGCTGAGACCCAGCAAGTTTGCTCCATGTCACACTGGGACAGAGCTGAGACCCAGTGGGCTCGCTGCATAGACTGGTTAGCAGGGACAGGGTGGGGGCACTGACAGAGCCATTTCAAGTGAATAGTGGTTCAGTTTAAATGAATAGCTGGGGGGGGAAGGGAAACTGAGCCATGATGCAGTGCAAGGTGGGTGTGGAGTCCAGCACTGAAAGCAAATTGCCTATGCTTATTAGCAGCTAATTGATTTTTTTTAATCGCTGCCCTTGAACCAATGGCCAGCCAGCCCAGTGCACAGGGGTGCTAGAGTAAGCTGCAAACTGGTGAGCTGCACTTGGGTGCTCAGAGTGGGCTGGGATCACAACCCCTGCAGGGTGGGAGAGAGTGTTGGCTTGGGAATAAGACCACCCCCTGGGCAGTCGAGTTGCACAGGGTTGAAAGTTTGCCCATGAAGGGCTGGGAATGATGTATCCCAGGGTGCTGAAGGAATGAGAGTAGAGTGTTTTATCTCCCTGGAACAGACTAATAATACTCTGGAACAACCTGAGTAAAATGGATAAAAGACAACCAGTGCTTGAATTGGCATAACTTTAATATGTTTTGAGGGTATTCAACATGGGTTAACTCCCTTTTAACAGGAGAATGCTCCCGTTTTAAGTGCCTTTATGATGGTTTAAAGATAACCTGTAACACCATCCCTAGGCCCTTGATGCACTAAGACCACAAGATATTAGGCTGACCAATTTTATCTCATTTTTTCCTTCCACTCCCCTGTCTGTCTGTATCCATCTGTTTTCTCTGGTCCTATATTTAGGGACCTTTTGCTTGTGTTTATATTACACCAGATCCAGTGGACTCCCATTTGCAGTGAGGCCTTGAGAACCCTTCTGTTTTGAATGTAGAGCATATAAAAAGTTTCACTGCTGTTGGAACTTAAATTGTAACACTTACATTCTTTTTTCAATTTCCAATGATGCTACCAAGTTGAGATTATTTACACCTAAAATGGGAAATGCCAGTGAAACTCATAATATCCCACAGACAAATAGATGCTTCCTTCTGCAGATGACACTAATAAATGGTTCAGGTTAAAACTAAAATTGTCATTTATCATCTCAAAAGTTTAAAAAGGTATCAAGATGAAATGCCATCACATGCATTATAATTGACTTATCATCTAGAAATACAAGATGTAAGAGGAATGGTATTAATGTACCAGACCCAGTGTAGTCCAGTAGAGAAAACACCAGCTAGCTCTACTGTAGGTGCTTCATAATATTCATCCTTCTCTGTGTAAAGCCCTTTGTGATCTATGGAGCAAAAACAACATTCAAGTGCTAAATACTTCATTAATAGTAAATAAATTACAGATACTGCTTACTGCTCAGATGCTAACCTTTGTGGCACATCATCTGTTTTTAATAATGCTGACCCAGGAGTATGTGAGTCTGGCTGGAATGCTCTTGCAAGCTGGTCGTCATTTTAAGATACAGCTGCAAAATTTAGCCATAACTTTATCCTTAAAATGTTGCTTAAACTATATCTGTACAGTCTCACAAACCATGTTGGACATGGACTGGGAGCTGTTCTCCCTCTGGAAGATAAATTTGGGGAAATATTGGAATAAGAGTGTATCTGAGGTCTAGCACCACAGTAATCTTTCCCCATAGACCCTGCAATGGAGATAGATGGAGAGTATCTATAGCTCACTGGTCAATGTGCATTATGCATCCAGTACTGACAGATGCTATGGATCTGTTAAAACTGGTAGTGTGAGGACATCACTCCATAGTGCAAACTGTACAGACTCATAATGGAGATCCACAAAATAGTGGCTGCCACAAGACTTAATATAAATTATCACTAATGGGTAAAGATTGTCAGTCCTGATTGTCTTTGAGAGTTGGGCATTTTTCTATGAAAATTCTGGCCTTAAAGAATTAACGAATCTAATTAAAGGAGCATGAGGTTTACACAAAAGAGAAATTGGATTGTAGATGGAGAGAGAGAATCCTGATCCCTGATCTGCTTACGTAACAAGTAACTTGTACTTAGATACATTATTATGGTAAAGGATATATTAAAATAATCTGAGATGTTGAACTGACTCAACATGTTTGTTTTTGCTGAGACCAAAACAATCCTTTGTGAACATTTATACATCCAACTAAAACTTTCACAGGTGATTGCTTATTTTAGTTTGCTGTCTCCTTGTGCATCACAAACCTCATGGTTAAACACCTATTAGAAAATGCTATAGACTTTTTATTTGTGCTAAATACCCAATTCCAAGTATGAGAACTAAAATGATTCTCAATATGATGTAGTAATATGGAAACAATAACCAGAACTTCACTTACCTGCCTACTTCAGATACCGCAATTTTAACAAGCATGGTTTAAATCCTAGAGACCATTTAAATCACAAAGAGAAAAAAAACTTTTGCCTGATCTGCCCAAATCAAATATTTTTTAATAGGATTTTGCTTTCTCTCTCTTTTCTTTTAATGGGCTGTTGGTTACAGCCATGTTGGTCTAAGGACATAGGCAGACAAGGTTCTTTAAGTAGATGTGATATCTTTTATTAGACCAACTAAATAATTGGAAAAATTGTGCTTTGCAAGCTTTCAGGCACCAACACCCTTCTTCAGACATAGGGAGACACCCCTTAACTTTTAATGACATGTATATTATATTTTCCTCAGATAAATGGGAAGCCTCTTCAGTACATTTTCCCTCATGCAAGACTCAAGATACTGAGAGACCCAAAGGATCACACCGTTTCAGGTAAAAAAGAAAGAAAGGAAAAAGGGGGGAAAATTAACACCTGGTTGTATTAGCATGTTTGCTATGTAGCATGCTAATGGCAGTGCTAATGACAATTTCCCCATCAATGGGTGGAAATGAATTCATTGTTCCTCTGAACTATTGTTAATGATAACAGGAAACAGTGATGTATGAAAATGGCCACAGCAATTTATTATTTTTTTAAGGGTGGGGGAGGGGGACATTGTAAGCAGTTGTGATCGATATAATGGGAGGGTGTATGCCTGTCTCTTTCTTTGTATATCCATCCTCTTCATATGGAAATTGTCCATGGAACTGAATAGGGATGAAACAAATAGGGTCCTATGGATAAGGTGTATAGTAACTAAAAATTTACAGAATGTAATAGGGCTTTCTGTCCTTCCTATAAAGGTTCGTCCTCCAACTCACCTTTAGAATTCTATAAAAGTAGTGTAATTTGTACTCTATATAGATTGTTAAACAAGAAGCAAACATAAAACTATGAAGCTATGAAACTATAATAAAATCATTGTTTTTCATTCTGTTTTCTCTATATAGATGCTTTTCAAGACTTTAGATTTGTTCCCTTTATCTCCGTGCCTACATGTGTGCATACATGCTTATATTTATTAAGAGTGAAAGAAACCAAGTGAGAGAAGTTATGCTATTTTGTAGTGGGTTATGTGTTGTACTATGGGTGATTTAGGCAATTCTTATGTGTGCTGGATTTCAAGATTGAGTATGCACTAGGCTTGTTTGTATTTTTGCAATTGTACTCTCTCAGTCTCTTTATTTTTATAAGAGAAGGTATTGATTTGACATTGCATGTTTTCTTTGGAGATATATGCTGTTCGTCTTCTGGCAGAGGCATATAATTCAAGCTTTCATGGTTTAGTTGCAGAACAATCAGTTTCTTTTAAGTAGTATAAAAATTCTAACAGTGTATGTCAAAATCCACTTCTGTGTAGAAGTAATTATTTATTTCCAACTTCTACTTTTCCTCCAGGTTTAAATAATAAGTGGCATTGTGTTTCCTTGCATCACTACATATTGTTTTCTCAGTACTTCTAGCAGAGAATCATATGCATTTCGACCCCTATCCTCCACCCTGTCCTTAGGGCATTACATCAATTATCTCTCTATAGTTTAGACCTTTCTCTTGGCTTTAATTTCTGCAAAATAGTTGTAACACTCATCAATGAACTTCAGCTATGTAGATGCATCCTAACCTACAAAGCAGAGCTTAAAAGAAATGGTTCATAACCTTTGTACTGCCCTGGGCCAGTAAAGTCATTAGGAGTTATTTGAAATTCTACTCAGGATTTCTTGCCTTGTGGGGGGGTGAATAACACTGCGATCTAAGCTGCTCTCTTCTCACAGAAGAGAAGGAATTATAATAACAGGGAACTAGAAATAAGTACGTCATGATTTCCTTTTTGCAGGGGGCCTGATTCTCCCCTGCCTGACGTGGGTACTTGTGTACAGCAAGTATAAAATGCTGCCTATTCTCCCTGTTCCACTTGTCACTCTGAGAGCAACATTTCACACGTACTGTGCATAGGTGTAAATCACCATGGAGGATGTAAGGCAGTAGCAGAGCAATCTATGTTTAATTCCCTTTTACTAACCCCTTCTGATCCTGTCTCTGGTCCCCCAGCTACTGTGATAACCCAGTAAATGGCAGGAAGCTTGACACACACAAAAACAATTGAAAGAACAGTGTAGTATGCCTGGCTTATGAGAATCAGTATTTTTTTTTAATATCACTTTGTATTGTTATGTGTCCCTCACAGCCTCCTTAAGGGCTGCTTTACACAAAGAGGCCACGAAATGATGATATAGGCACAGACTTGGTAAACAGCAAAGCAAGTAGCATTTATTCCCAGAAGAGAGTAGAGGTTCTTCCCCCTACTTCAGGTGCAAAACATTTTCATTTTCTCCCCCAGCAGGAAAAGCCTGCATACCCAAGACTCCCTGCCTAAGTTCCTTCCTGATGTAGATAGAGCCTTTCATTCTGGGAAAACATGTAGTCTTTCAGGGCTCTCTGGATGTGTCTACACATATCACTATGGTGACTTTGTTACTGCACCATGATTTAGTACTTTCAAGACTACTAGTAGTTGGGTTAGTAATTTTGGAAGAACTAAATAACAGAGCAATATCAGCCTGTACTGTGCCGTACGTGCAACACACAGTTATTTTTAACAGCTACTTTGCCAAATTGCTGTTATTCACGTATAGATGCCAACAGATACTATGTCGCCATAGCGCATTGCTATAGTGCTGTAGCGTCACATGTAGATGCAACCTCTGTAGAGTGTATACAGAGGATATGGACAGATTCATTTTTCAGAAATCTGCAGCAGTAGAAATCTTCCTGAGAGAAGAAGCGTACAGGTGTTCCAGCCTGTAGCCATCTCCTTTCCCCTGCTCCCCACATTGAAATGAGGAAGATCTTTCTCCCAGAATCAACATGTTTCCTGCAGAAGAATCTGCAGTAATGCCTTTACACTCCCAGTTTCTACCGGGTGAGTGGCATTTCTCCCATTAGAACTATAACACCTATCCAGACCCAGAGACCCATCCAGTGCAATAGCCATGTAACTCAGTTATCTAGGACAATCCGTTGTGTGGTCGGACTCCTCAGAAGGGTTAAGCACCCATAACTGGGGCCAGGTTTGAAAACAAAAGCCCAACTCTAGAATCTGGGCAAACGCTTGGCACCGTTTTGGAAATCCACCACAAGTGTTGCCAAGGAAGCTATGGGCTAGTGAGCACTTCTAAAAGTTTGGCCCCATGTACAATCATTCCTTTCCCTGAGTTATATGTGCTGATAAAAGGGAGCAGTGTGTAATAGAAAAGGCTTTCTCCCAAACCGAGGAAGGGTGAAAACATCAGCTCTGCTGTTTATTTTCATGAGCTCCAACCTCATCCACTGGGACATCTGCATCTCCACAGTGTTGAGTCTCTGTGGCTTAGGCTTTATCTACAAACTCTCACCCAACATTGTGATTCCAGCTCTTGTAGACATGCCTTTAAAGTAACGAGCTCAAGTACTGGTAAGAGCATAACGACATCAGTACAGAACTCAGCATGGACTAGCCACCTGAATATTTACCCAGAGGCCTGCTTGAGTTTTGCAGCCTGGACTGCAAAACCTCCTTAGGCAGTTGGAGTTGGGCAGGAAAGAAGAATAGGGCTGGTATTTGCATTTTGCATAAATCTCTGAGGTACATGCAGTTGTAGGTCATACTTTCTGGACTACATCTACATGCCACCCATCTCACCCTTCTGAGCAGAAAACTTGATAGGAAAACCTGCAAGATTTTAATGTGCACTGTTGTGCTCCAGTATTGCCTTTCCAAGGAGCCATACTCCCCACTTTAGATCTGAAATGATAAAAGTGATATTTTGATGAAACAGTATCAACAAATTGAAAGTGATCAGTTCTGCTTATCATCTAGGCAGTAAATGAAGTTGTTTCATAGTACTAGAGGCAGAGGAGATAGGACACTGACCCACTTAATATTTCTACAGGTATAGAGAATTGCAGTTTGAAAGAGAACTTAACAATCACATGAGTCCAGGAACTGGAATCCTCTGTCATGTTGGTTGCTTAATCTGGCTTTGTGAAAAGCCAAGAAAAAACAAGAAATTTCAAGAGATTTACCATACAATTATGCTGGGTTGCCCCCCTCCCCGCACAAACGGTTGGTTGCACTTTCTCTCCTATGAGAAGCTACTAAGATAAAAGTGAATCTGCCAAGTGGAAAATGGATATTTCATAACTATTTCCACCTCCCACTTCCTCCTGGCCCTCCTGTCTTTTTCTTTTCCATTTTATGTACCATCCCTTAGAAATCTCAGATCCACTCTCCATATTTGGAAAATCTGTGGTTCAAAGTGTCCCCAATCCCTTCACCACTATGTATATACTTGTCTTTTACTGCTACACTTAAAGCTTTTTTCTGCTATTTTTTTCATTATTTGCAATGAATTTTAAAGGATTTTGCATCATTGTACAGCTGAAATGCTAAAACAATGATGGCAGTGATTAGCAAATGACAAAATAGCAATACTTAGTGCATCAGAAACTTCCTGTTTATTTTCACCCAGGCCAGAAACAGATATTCAAAAAGCCTGAATTGATTCAATTTTTGTAGGTTAGTCTAACTTGGCTAGGCTGAACCAGTTTGTAACTGTACAGACATTGCCTCTGGACTGAGAAAATGTAGGTACATATCTGCAGTGGCTCAGGCTAGAAGCTGTGGGGGTGCTAGAGCAGCCCTTACTTCCCTTCCACAGTGTTGAGCTGAGGTGGGGTTTGGCCAGGCCCTGGCAGGACGCTGTAATTAGGAAGGGGTTTCCCTGCCCCCCCATTGCTCCTGACGAGCCCAATGGGGAGTTGATAACAGCATTTATCAGCCCATAAAGAAAACAAAAGCCTCTCTTATTAGTTCAAGCTGTTCTTAAGCATCTTTCTCCAAGGAAGGAACAGAGGGACATTACCAGCTGATCTGTTGATTAGCTCCAAAAAGTCCTAAGTGGACACTCTCCTGTCTGCCTTTGTTCTGTCTGCCTTACACAGACAGCTCTCAGCATTAGCTAGCATAGCACAAGCTGGCTACCATCCATGCTGTGGGAGAGGGGAAGGGGGAATCCCTGCTTGAGCAGGGACCTGCCAGGGAGGGGACAAAGGGAAGTCAGGCAGATACTGCTGTGCCTACAGTCTCTGCTGGAGCTCCAGCCATGGAGAGGGGCAGGGCCAGCCCAGCTCTGGAGCAGAGAGCCCCTCCCAGGGCTGCAAAGCATCTGGGATGCTGGGGGACTCTGGTTTAAGTTAAACCAGGAAGGGCTCTGGGACAGAACATTGCATAAACTGGTTTGACCCCAATCAGCTTAGTCTAATACTACATTCACCCAGGTTTATCTCAAACTGGTTTAATCCATTTTCAGACTGGTTTATGTGCACTGACCATCTGTTCTGTTACAGGTTTAAA